ATTCCGTAGTTTCTTACTGCCGCCAGCGCAGCGTCTCCAATGCGTGGGTCGTTGGAGAATCGGATGGTATGGAAGACTCGATGTGCTGTGCGTGCTCTCAGTGCTTTGCAGATTGTGCTCAGTTTCATAACGTCGCCATCATCCAGACGGGAGATAATGGCTTCGATAATCTCTGCAGGGAGGGTGTCGATGTTGGGTGTCATATTGGAGAAGACAGATTGAGTTTCTGGGTGGCACTTGCGTTACAAGGATCGAACATCTGAGGGGTTACGATATATCCAAAGGGGTCACCCAACGGCAGCCGCAACGCCTTGGCTTTTATACGGCGTTCCAAGACAGAACCCTGAAATTGTTGCCAGGGCGGTGTATGTCAGCGGCGCCAAGATTAGGCAGAGGTCTCCAACATTCACAAACACTGCTCTGTTCTTGGGTGCATCTGTGTGCATTTTTGTGAACGGCGAGCATCATTCGTTGCTGAGCAGTACCCCAAAACGTTCTAGATAATAAGCCTAAGGTATCGTGACGTGGGACACGTAGCATCCAATGGAAAAGCGGGACATAATCATGTAATGTTGACGTTGGGTCTTTCGATCACGTTTTCAGGAGGTTCACTCATTGATGAAATCGCGGTTGATATTGAAAGTTATATGTAAGTGTTGTATACGGGATGTGCTAACAGGCCCAAACCACCCATGTACATACTGCTCCTGCTGATTTTGTGCCTCAAATGAAGGTGTCTGGGAAAGTTGAAAGCTCACTTCTCCCCGGATTCATTTGTTGCTTCCTTGTCCTCCCATTCCACTGCCCGATTCAAATCGAACCATTGCTTCTCCGCCGCACTCTAGACTGTATTCCCATTATTGAGTTAGAATATTCGACCATTTTGGTGCATTGGAAAAGTAGAGGGCATTCGACCATATTTATTCTCAAGGGAGGATGAGGCACGAGAGAAGAAAAACTCACAAGGCGGCGGCACAAGCCCGTTAATCACCCATAACCCCCTCGGCGTCTCGTCGATATGGACCTCCCAGTCATATCCCTTCTCTTTAACATGCGGCTGTAGGGCCGCATTGACCATCTCCCTCATTCTCTGCATCCGCGCCGCATCGTTCTCGATATGCACCGCGATGTGGTCGGCCACAAACCGGACAAAGGGCCTATCCGGATTGGGATTCTGCCCGCCGACAAACGTGTCAGTGGCCGGGACGGCGATGAAGTTGACCACCACGTAAAAAGCGGGGAGGCCGGACCGGGTGTAAATGGAGGTGATGTCTGCGGCCAAGCTTTGCTTGGAGGATGGGGTGGTGAAAGTGGAAGGGGGGTGGTAAATCAGCCAGAGGGGCATGGTGACAGCGTAATAGTTTTGACCTTTACTAGCGGGTGGGAACAAACAATAGAGTGGTGGTCGGAATGTTACAGTCCCGGGGAGTGAGGTAGAAGTGTCTTGACTCGTTATGGGTGGCAAAAGAAGGGTGGGACCGGTACAAATGGGAGAACAAGTCAAGTATTATTATACTAGCAGACAGTCAATCGCGGGTAGCGGACCCTTTTCTGATAAGTAATCACCAGCATATCCACGGCGAGATAGCCAGCGTTTACTGAACCATGATTAGTTATCATGGCCTCCATGAGCCGGCCGCGACGGCCAAAAACAAGGATTAAAAGAAACTAGGCCGGCCCACCTCGGCTTTTGGGGTTCTAAGTTGGTTGTTGCGGCGGACGGAAATGTTAACTCAAATTCAAGAAGGCGACGGGAATGGGTTTGAGATGAAGAGTCGGGTAACCAACACCTAAATGATCAGAGTGGCAGTTTTTTGTATAGGAACATGACCCTGTCAGATTTGCGTGCGAACAAGGTAACAACATATGATTTGCGTTTTCGTTGCTGCTATTCAACAGATCCCATCGCAGACCACTTTGTGGTGCAATGGTTAGGCTGTGAACCTAGTCGATTCCCCCCTCGTTGAAGCAAGGCCGCGCCGAGGATGGCGAATGACCACAGCCTCTTTTTTCACTCCCAGTTAGTTATAGCTAGTTGCTTGTTTTTGGTCTCCTTTTTTCTTGGAGGGTCGGGGATTCTTGCCCTAACCTGGGTACCTAGGTATCTAGGTACCTAACTCCCCTCAAGGTTGTTGGCGGGCTCCCGGGGGTCTTTTATGATAATAATAATGGCTACTAACTAGTTAACGCATTCTTGAACATTTGAATTCCGGGTCCTAACTTTTGAAAGAATGGCTCTCCAATCCTTAACACCACCCTTTGCCAAATCGACAAAGTTGTTACATGTCACGAATATGCCAACAGGTGGAGCCTCGGGGCGCGGAACACCCCGAGCCAGTCGTTCCGAGGACCAATCAGGGAAGTCTGGGGTGTGCTCAGTGTGATCAGGGAAACGGGGAACAAAGGGAGACCAAGCACACCGAGCAGAGAAGCCATGCAGCCAATCAGAATATAGGAAGGACTAAAAGTGGTCAGTGTGATCAGTGTCGCCGAACTCCGGAAAAGACTGAGCACACTGAGCACCAGGGAATTAGGTAAGTATATAGTCACTAGTCCTGGACAGCTCCGGGAGTTCTCCAGTTAGCAATCACAACTACAGTTCGCTACAAGCTCGAAAGCCTACTGTTGAGACAAGTCTTTGTTGTGCACCCTTTGGCTGCACCGAACCTAAGCACCCTTGCAAGATTATCTTCGACCGAAGCTGAACCCTAACAGGACGGGGTCCTGGAGTAGGTTCGTCACATTACACCTTGGGATGCCGCTACTCAGGGTATGTGATAGCACCAGACTCCGGTTTGCCAACCAATAACTACAGGTCGGCTGGTGTAGTGGTTATCACGTCTCGTTCACAAGGTTGAATCAACTGGAGTAATTCCACCGAGAAGGTGCCAGGTTCGATCCCTGGGTCGATCATTGTTTTGCTGTTATGCCCTAAGATTCTAGTCTCGACTCTTTTTGCTCGCGCCTCCACAGAGACAGATCTGAGGTTTTTACCTCTCAATACGGCACATCCAAACTGTCCTGGATCGTGTCTGGACTGACAACTCAGTCCACTACCATCCTTTTACACCCACTCACTCCACCTCACCCCCTGTCGGTACGCCAACCCGTCCGTCTCAAACTGCGGCCCCTCGGCGTCCACAAGATAGCCCGTCTCACAACGGTTGTAGCTAACCTTCTTCTGCTCCTGCTCGTAAAAGGTATCGAAGCGGCTGCTCAGTGCGTCGTGCAAGTTCTGGACATTGCCCGCGGGGTGCAGCGCATGCCACGGCCTCACGCACGTCTGGCCCTTGCACGACTTAAGCACAAACAGCAGAGCGTCAAGCCGGGCAATGACCTTTTCAAACGGCACGCCAATGAGCGTGGCGGGGGGTTTGGCCGTGTCGTGGAGGAGGTTGTTGAGTTGGTAGGGATCCGTCTAAATAACTGGTCAGTCAAAGGTCCCCCTTTTTACCACGGCAAGACAGAGATGAAACATACCTTGAGATTATACAACTCGTGCTCGTTGTTACACCAGACGGAGTAGTAAAAGTTGTACTCCTTCCCGATCACCCTCAACGCCTTGTACGTGTTGTTCGCCACCAACCGCTGCCCGTCATCCCCCGCCAGCTTGAACTTGCCCTCAGATATCGCAAGCCCCCAAAACTCCACCGTGACATGCTCGTGCCTCGTCTCGACCGCCTCCTTCAACTCCCCCTTGGTCAACGGGATCCCCTCCCCGTCAAATTCCGCCGCCCCCTCCTTCACCACCTTCTCAACATCCACCCCAGCAATCCCCAAAATCGTCGGCGCCAAATCCACATGCGTCGTCACCACCTCCGCCACCTCGCCCCGCGGCACCCCCGGGCCCCTCACAATCAACGGGATATTAATATCCTCCTCAAACCCGCACTCCTTCCCCGGCTGCAGCCGATGCTGCCCAATATGGAACCCATTATCCGTCGTATAAAACACATACGTCTCCTCCAGCACGCCCAAATCCCCCAACCTCCTCACCACCGCCTCCACCAACTCATCCACCGACTGCAGCGTCCTCAACCGCTGCCTATAATAATGATCATTCCACGCCACATTCTCCTCACTCTGCCTCGCCAACCCCCTCACCCAACTCGCCCCCGACGCGCCCCCCGCCGGATTAAAATGCGGCGTCCTCGGCACAGTGACATTCCCAAACAACCTCGCATGCCTCTTCGCCGGAATCGGCGGCGTAAACGACACCAACTTCTCCACATCCCCCTCGTCCGGCCCCCCCGGCGGCACCGGCCCCGCCCACGCATCCCCCGCAATCTGCACATTACTATGCGGCGCGACGGGCGCGATCCCCAAGAAAAACGGCCTCCCCCCGTCTTCAGCCCTCGCCGCATCAGCAGCGTCGTCCAAAAACCCCAGCGCCTTCCCCGCCAACACGTCCACCGAGTGCTGGCCCGGGTAGCTCACCGGCGCGTGGCGGTTGCGCTGGAAGGTGGCGTTGAGGTACATGTAGGTGTAGGGGTCGAGGAGAAAGTCGGAGCCGTTCCAGCCGGCCGGGTAGGGAGTGGCGTAGTTGTCGATCGTGTGCGCGTTGAAGAGCTTGCCCGTGTAGTAGGTGTTGTAGCCGGCGGTTTGCAGCCAAAGGGGCAGGTAGGCGGAGTTGAGGCCGCGTTGGATGAATTTGGGGTAGCCGCCTGGGGGGGTTAGTGGGAGGGGTGGGTGGTGATGGTGGGGGGGACCTTACCATGGGGTGGGTTCACGTCGGTGACGTTGGTGTTGTGGGCGAGCTTGCCGGTCCAGAGGGAGACTCGGGAGGGGCAGCAGATGGCCGTGGTGCAGTAGTGGCGCTTGTAGAAGGTGCCTTTGTCGGTGAGGTGCTTCTTGATCAAGGGCAGGTAGTCCAGCGACTGCATGTGCAGGTCCTGGTCGTCGGTCAGGATAAACACAATGTTCGGCTTCTTCCCCTGGGGGCTGGGCCCCAAAGAGCCACTGAGGCTGAATGGGTGCTGGCCATGTCCGCTACCTAGGACGGCGGGCAGGCAAAGGCCCGCCGTGAGAATTGCCTCCGAGAAACGCATGATGATATCAGAAGCAATAGTGGTGGGGAGTGTATTATTAGCCGAGGTGACCGTCGAGTAGTCCCGCGGTCTTCACCTCGTGGCTGTTGGTCATTGATATCCCTCGACGGGGACCTAGCAGCGATACCGGGGCTCTGGTACGGATGGTTTGTCAAATCGCTTTGTTGTTGATGGCGTTATTATTCCCGGCTATTGCATCGGTTCCCACGACCCCTTTTTGGTATGCAACCCCCACACCCACGCGCTCTAGATCAATCCGAAACCGAACTATGTGAGTGTGGAGGACCTCACTCCAGCGATAACTCCGTCAGGAACGAAACCGTAACGCTGCGGCTGCGCTAGTCAGGAAATTGGAGCCGTTAAGTGGGCGGATAAGACGCTCAGGGGTTACGACATCGACTTGTAAATGTCGTGATCGGCTGGAAGTTGGAACGGCCCCTGCAGCACAGCGCAACGGGGATAAGCGATGTTGGGGGACAACGGCGCTCGGGCGTTCCGGAAGGCCGATGTATATTGAAAATTGAATTTCTCTTTCTTGAGAACTTACGAGGTGAATCAAACGAGAGCCGGTTCGTCGTGCTCTGGTACAGACTGAGGTTCGTGCATGTTAACCCTGCCCAAACCCCGGTGCCAGATCTAACTTACAGCAGATATATTTTGAATAACCGCAATGGTTCAACACTCAAAAATAACCGGCGGCCAGCCTTCGGAGCAGACACCCTTGCTGGGCAAAGACGTGAACGCGAACGGTCACGGAGGCGTGTCTGTCTCGGCAGTCGAAGTTCCTGTTGAGGAGCCGCCCGTCGGTAATGGCAATGGGGTGAACGGCGCAATACTTAAGACAGGGACGGGCGATGAGGAGAGTCAAGGGCAAGGAGAAGTCGAAGAAGCGGTAAACAGAAACCACGTGGCTCAAATCATCTTGGTCTTGCTAATCGGTAGGTCTTGCTGATCGGTTTGTCGATTTTGCTGATCGCTATCCTGGATGTCTTGCACTCGCCTTGGCAACTGAGTTGATTAAGAGTACTCTTGATTAATACTAGTTAATGGAGTTAAAGGCATCTTTGTCGCGCATGCCGACGGGTCGATCCTCCTAGCGACACACCCTATCATTGCTTCGGAATTCAACGACTTGGAAAACTCAAGCTGGCTGATCACTGGTTTTGCTCTGGCCGGGGCTGCCACACAAACTCTTGTAAGCCGCCCGAGGTTGAGGAACTGTTCGTACATGTAGCTAACAAGAGGTTCAAAGTACGGAAAGCTGAGCGACATCTACGGCCGGAAAAGTTTGGTCATCACCGCTTATGTTATCTTCGTTGTTGGCTGGTGAGTTCTCCATGTTCAGATCCGATTTGAATATTGCTCTAATTATCCACCAACAGCGCCATTGTGTAAGTCTTCTTGAATCATAAGGCAACTGAACCGTCTGAATCCTAATGTCGAACAGTGGCATGGGCCAAACTATGGGGCAGGTCATCCTCGGCCGAATCATTTCGGGGGCGGGGGCATCTGGGATGGCCGGACTAGTCTCTATTCTGATCACAGGTAAGGCCATCTCTCATTCGCTGCCGAGAGATCGGAACTAACGATGTAGACCTTCTCCCTATCAGAGAGGTTGCGCAATGGCGTGCCTACGTCAACCTAGTTGCCACTTTGGGCCGCAGCATTGGAGGACCACTGGGCGGATGGCTGGTTGATGTTGTTGGTTGGCGATGGTGAGTTCTATTAACTTTGAAACCCCTAAGAGACACTAACAGCATCCTCTAGGTCCTTCTTTGGCCAAATCCCGCCCATTATACTCGCTATCATTCTCGTGACCGTCTCTCTCCCCGGTTCCCCTTCAACCGTCCCCGAGCACCCAGATACTCTCGAGGGTTCAATTAGCCAGAAGAGCAAGCTTAGCCGCGTCGACTTCAAAGGCTCCATACTCTTCACCCTGGCGATTCTTGCGCTGCTCCTACCCATCGAGCTGGGGGGTGTCAAGCTGCCCTGGTCTCATCCAGCCATCATCACTCTCTTCAGCCTCAGCCCCGTACTGCTGTTTGTCTTTGTGGCGGTCGAGAAGCGGCAGGCAGAGCCGACCTTGCCCCTAGAGATTTTCCACCGCCCGGGATGGCCGTTTTGTTCTTTTCTTATACTGGGGCCTGCAGATTGCAGCCCAGCTCGGGGTGCGTCCAACCAAAACGTGTGCAGTGGGTGTGAGAGAAACTGACTGTCAGCCAGCTTATGTTTTCGGTCCCGCTCTACTTCCAGATTACGACGCGGGCATCTAACACCGTTTCCGGGGCACACCTAGTGCCCGCCGTCGTTGGTAATGCGCTCGGCGGGCTGATCTCAGGGCTGCTCATCAAGAGGTAAGGCAGGATGGGGACAACCTGAATAAGGGAGCTATCGGGTGCGAAGTTGGTAAAGTTAGAAGGCCCAACTAACCTTGCCAGATCCGGCCGTTACAAAACCCTCATCATCCTCGCCGTCACGCTCTCCTCCTTTGGCTATCTCCTGCTGATGCTCCGCTGGCACGGCAACACCAACTTTTGGGAGTCTCTCTACATTTTCCCTAGGTTTGTGTCCCTCTTTGTCTGATCCCCTTCCTTGAGCCCCCTTAATCGCCTTCCCCCCCCCGGTCCCCCTTCCATCCTCCGCTCCCCATAAGCCACCCAACCCACTCAACCACCCACTAACCCCCCCTTTCCTCCCAACAGCGGTTTCGGCACAGGCATCGCCCAATCCGCCGTATTCGTCTCTCTGCAAGCCGTCGTGTCCGACCCAGCCCACCTCGCCCCCGCCATCTCCTTCATGTACCTGACCAGCACGGTGGCACTGACCATCGGCCTGCCGCTCTCCAACGCTGTCATGCAGGCTGTGCTGCGGCGTGTGCTGGAGGGGAGGTTGCTTGGGGTTGGGGGTGGAGGTGGGTGAGGTTTTAAGGGTGGGTTGTTTTGTTTCTTTTTTTTTTTTTTTTCTTTTCTTTTTTCCTTTTTCCGTTTCTTGAGTCTTGGTTGTGGTTTTGGTGTTTTGCTCGTTTCGTTTTTATTTCCTTCCTCTGCGCCTCCGTCCCCTATCCCCTTACCTCTTCTCCGTCCTCTCCTTAGTGTTTCGTTTTAGTAGTAAAATCATTGGTGATACCCCGGTGATCTGTAAACACGTCTCCGAGCATAACTAACCGGGCCGCTTCCGGGGGCAGATCATCGAGAGCACAGTCTCAGACGTCGACTTTATCGACCGCGTCACCGGCAACGTGCGGGAAGCCATCGTCAGTTCCTATGTTGACGGGCTGTGGTGGAGCCACGGTAAGTGTTCTCATCTATTACCCATCCGGCCGCATACAAGTCCCAGCCCTTAACACACTCCATTCCGCAGGCGTCTCGTTCTTGTTCTCCGCCACGGCGTTCGTCTTGGCCCTACTCATCCGCCAGAGGCCTCTCGATGGTCCCAGAGCGTGAAATAGGTAACCAGACTGTCCCAGTATGCCGGGGGAGACAAGGTTGTCACTCTGATGGTGAACAGTGGTGTTGCCAGAGCACCGAAGTGGAGGAGATCGTTGTATGTACAAGGCAAACACAGCTCAGCCTGGGAGTACTCGGGATCGGAGGTGGAGCTTGAAACCCGCAAAAGCAAAAGAAACGACTAGATCCTTGAAGTGTACGGGTTAAAGTGATACAAGGCGTGTACATACATACCTAGTTTGGGGCCGGTGGCCGTCGTACTAAGAGGTTGGGGATAGTCCGACTGTGACGAACCTACTTCAGGACCCTGTCCTGTTAGGGTTCAGCTTCGGTTGAAGGTAATCTCTCAAGGGTGCTTAGGTTCGGTGCAGCCAAAAGGTGCACAACAAAGACTTGTCTCAACAGTAGGCTTCCGAGCTTGTAGCGAACTGTACGGAGTAGCTGTGATTGCTAACTGGAGAACTCCCAGAGCTCTCCAGAACGAGTGACCATATACTCTCTAGGTCCTGAGCACCTCTGTACCTATTATCCTTGGGAACGTTGGGAACGATGGGAACGACGGCTCGTTCCTATCGTTCCTGTCGTTCTTGTACACGAAGGGAACGTTTACATACTCCTTTCGTTCCCTTCGTTCCTCCTCTTATTGGTCCAAAACCCTGC